GAATTTTGAAGAGCGAAACATCATTTGAGCATCAATTTTGAGACACATATTTAACACGTTGGTAAAAATCGGGATGCTGAGCGATTTTTGCGGAACTTTCCAACTCCTCAACGCCAAATGCCTTCTAGAAATTCTGAAGATTTCAAGTTGCTACTTGCTTTAGTTTGGGCGCTGTGAATTTTTTAAGCCAAGGCTGCAGTTTGGAAAAACTTACAGTTTCAGACTGAAGTTTACTTAGCTGGTAAAATTCAGAATAGTAGGCAATATTTCTGAAACTTCCAGCAAATTTAGAGTTGGGCGTTACCTATGGATGGGAACAAGTTCACACTGATGCTTGCTTTAGTTTGGAAGACATGCATTTTTTAACAAGCGGGCGCAGTTAGGCCAAACATGCATTTTGACACCAAGCTGGCAAAATCAGCATTTTGGGCCACGGTGATGAAACCTTCAGCATTTTTAGAGTTCAGTGTCTTCTAAACGTGGTAAAAATTGTGCATTGTTTTTTGCTTTAGATGGCAAAAAACGAATTTTTATTTCAACAAGTCTTGTTTTTTTCACGTAAGTTTAGCCAAATTTGCGCCAATGCATCAGACAAATTGGAGATTTTGCCGATATTGCAACAATCCATGATCAAGATGAGAAAATGCAATTATAACTGGCATGGAAAAGCGCACTCTAGCATAATTCGGCGTTGCTTGGGGAAACTTTGCAACTTGTTCCAAGCTGAAGCCAGAGTTGTTCGCAAATAACTTCCAATCTCAAATTAAACCTTATTATTACCTTTTGTTGCAAGTACTATGTGGATATTTACCTTGGAAAGCAGAGAAATGTACTTAATTAAAAGGGGCGCGACTAGTTGGAATTACTTTCAGGTTTTCGAACGCGCTTGAATTATTCACTATTTGAACTTTAATTTTAGCAACTATGGCGATTTTTCCTTTGCCAGAATAACGAAAATTCTAAACAGACCAATTAGTCCAGTTTAACTCCACGTTTCCCGTTATTAAAACGCAATATTAGTTTTCCTCACTAATTAATTTATCTTTGATACAGTCGATGCTCTCCTCACAACGTAATCAGCGTGATTAGCCAACTTTCCAATTTAACAAATATATTTCCAGCTTTGCAGGATCCAATTAAACTGAAAGTTACCCCCCGAATATTCCAGCCAGGCGACTGCTGAACTGATGCTCTTTCAGTCTTCTCTCCACGAACCGAAACGCGATCAGCAGAAATTGCGATTAGGAAACTTATGTTATTTAAAAATAAATTAGTTTCCCCGGAGTTGGGCAAGCGATTAATATTAATGTCAGTAACTCATCAACTGGGGCCTTCTAATTTCGCTTCAAAAGGGAAACTTTTCATTAATTAAAATCCACGCATGAGATCGTGTTTTATGTTAAACAGCCCCAATTCGGATCGAATTAAACTGAAGCCGCATCAAATGCAATTTTTGAGCTGGAAGCAAAAACCCCTTCATCCTCCTGACTTGTTGATAAAATCGATCTAAAGCCGATGCGAGCAACCACAGAAGCAAATCAGGTTTAGAACAAAGAAGGTCGTTTAAACAGTCTATAGATCAGATCATTAGTGAAGCTTCGGTTGTATGCACTGCATCAACAGCAAAGAGAATCTAAAAGGATAATAATAGTTAAACGCCTCATCGAAGAGAGTCTATTGCAGTATCAGATAGAGCCGAACATTGTGCGCAATAATGATTAGCTTTTAAGATCCCTAATTGGCCATTCACTGCCTGATCACGCGAAATTTCCTAATTACTGGGGCCAGTTTTCGCTGCACCCCAACTTAAAGCTCACTCGAACAACAAATTGTTGGCTGTTTTTTTGCCTTTGTTTTTTGGCCTTCATGGCGCAGAAACTGTAGGTTTTTGGGTTTTGAAGTCTTTCTTTCGCACATCAAAGTATCAGAATGTCGGGCGATTTTTCTCTAACTTTCTCTATTTTTAAAGTGAAGTGTCTTCTCAAAGTGGTGAACATTATAAATCAGTCGCTGTTTTGTTGGGAATTTTTAGAGAAGAGAGTGCAGTTGCGTCAAAACCTCCATTTGGAGATCCATACTTTACCAAGCCGGTAAAAATCGGAATTCTGAACAATGTTTTTTAAACTTTTAGCATCTTTACAGCCAAGTGTCTGCTAAATGTGGTGAAAATTTCAAGTTGATTCTTGCGCTCGTTTCAGGGACACGAATTTATGAAAAAGAGCGCGTAGCTAAATACACACATGTATTTTCAGACTGAAATTTGATCAGCATTCTGGAAGATTTTCAATCTGGAAAGCCAAGACTTTTTAAAAGCTGGTAAGAAATATCAGAGTGTTACTCGCTTTAGGTTGGCACTGGACAATTTTTTAAAGAGGAGGGCGCAATTGGATAAAAAAGACATTTGCTAAGCTGGTAAAAATCAGTATTCCCGACGATATTTACGAAACTTTGGAAATATTAATTAATTAATGAATTTTTAATTACTTTAATTTAATTTATTATTAATTAACTAATACTCGATGAAGCTGTGGGCTAAGTATGTTAAAAACTTCAAGTTCCTGCTTGCCTTTGTTTCAAAGAAACCCTAGAAAAAGCGCGACTGGATTCATACATACATTTTTCTACTGAAACTTACTCAGCGGGCAAAAATCCGCTTTCCAGGCAACTTTGATGAAACTTTCCGTGTCTTTAAAGTCGGCTATCTTCTAAGCATGGTGAAAATTTCAATTTGCTGGTTGCATTAGTGTGAAGATAACGGATTTTTCAAGCAGAGAGCGCAGTAGGGTCAAGACATCCATTTTGATAGCGATTTTTACTGAGCTGGCAAAAATCAGAATTTTGGACGATTTTCTTGAACCTTATACAATCGATAGAGTCAGGTGTCCTCTAGAAACTCTGAAAATTCAAAGTTGCTGCTTTATTTGGTTTGGAAGATGCGAATTTTCGAAAGAGCGGGCGCGCGTGAAAACATCCCCTGTGAGACTGATTGATTTTGGGATCCGCATTTGCCATGCTGGGAAAAATCGGGATTCCAGCCGATTTTTACCAAACTTTCACCTTCTTTACAGTGAAGAATCTTATGAAGATGGTAAAAATTTCAAATGGCTACGCACTTTATTTTGAAGAAAGGGAATTTTTAAAGAAAAAAGCCAATCATGTAATTTTTTGGGTTACATCTAAAATCGTTTGCGTTTTTAACGCGTCAATGGCACGTTTTGAACATTTACTGCATTCCTTAATCCACATTACTCAAAATTGAAATTGAATCCCATTTGCAAGGCTGAAATCTTGCTATTGGTTCAAATGGATGCTCTTCGTTGGAACTTCAATAGATTTTCTCGGCTTTTGTATACTCAAGACATAATAAATCGAACATAGATATACTACTTCCATGGCTTGCGGAACAGCAGCGTTCAGTTTTATCTGCCGTAGATTTATAGATTTCCGCAGGCTTGTGTTTTATGGCAGAACCGACCTATCAGAAGCGTGCGGGTCAAGATTTAGATGAAACAAAGCTTGATCAATTGCAGCTTAACCGAACAAGTAAATGTTATCAATAATTACTCAGGTTTTACTCAATTGGCCTTTGGAAACTAATGCCATATTTTTCTTTTAAATGGGAATGTCCTCTGGATGACTTTCTGGATCGAAAAACACCCTTTTCGTCCATAATGAACCAATAAAAAGATGTTTAGCTTCTGTTCATGCAATTATAATGGTAAGAACGTTACACAAACATGTTTACTGGAAAAGCGCGCAGTTTCATTAATCCGTTTATTGTTACAAATTCGTTTATTTGCTGTTTATATGTCTTCCTCTTTTTTAATCACGGCTGTTTTTGTGGTACATTTACGACATGAACAGATAGCAACATATTAAGTTACGATTCTTTAAGAGAAAGAGCGCAGGTGGTTGATAAGATGAGTGATGATAGTAACATTTAGCGGTTCGCCGAAATTTTATGTTTTGGACGATTTTAACAAAAAATTTGCAATCTGTAGAGCCAAGTGTTGCTCAGAGACTGGGAAATTTTCAAGGGACTACCAGTTGTGGTTTAGCCGTTAGTGATTTTTAAAGGAGAGAGTGCAGGAACGTAGGGAAATCGGTTTTCATTCGTTTATTCGTCTGAAAATTTTCCCGCTTTTGCACAATTTTAACAACAATAAGTCTGTAACTAGAACCAGGCTTTCTGAACGTTCTGTGAAAATTTCAAGTTACTACTTGCTCTAGTTCAGAGGCTAGAATTTTTTTAAAAAATTTTTAAAGCAAAAGCGCAATTGGCTGTTGGCATCGGTCATGGTAGCAAGATTTTCTGATCTGAAAAAATCTAGATTTCCGGGCGATTTTAAGGCAAATTTGAGAATATTTAGAGCGAAGTGTGCCCAAAAGACTGTCAAAATTTCAAGCTACCACCTGCTCTGGTTCATAAGTTAGTAACTTTTAAATAAGAGAGTGCAGGAAGGTTGGGAAATCGGTTTTCATTCATTTATTCGTCTGGAAATTTTTCACATTTTGCTCAATTTTAACGCAAATTAGCCCAAATCTAGAACCAGGCTTGGTGAACACACTGTGAAAATTTCAAGTCACTACTTGCTCTAGTTCAGAGGTTAGAATTTTTTAGATGCAAAGCGCGGGTGGCTTATAACATCGGTCTGGACACCAATTTTTCCTGATCTGGCAAAAATCTAAATTATTAACAATTTAAAAAACATTTTTTAAATATTTAGAGCCAAATGTTTCCAAAATACCTTGAAAATACCAAAGCACTTCAGCTCGGGTTTAGACTTCCTCAATTTTTAAAGGAGCAAGTGCAGGTAGGTGAAAACATGGACTTTCATTCATTCAGTTATTCCACTGGAAAATTTCCAGATTTCGGAAAATTTTGCTGAAAGTTACGGTTTATCTAATTCTCGGCTTTGTCAAGAGATGCTGAAAATTTCAAGTCGCTGTTTTTTCTGGTTTAGAGGGTAGAATTTTTTAAAGCAAAAGCGCAAATGGCTGATGGCATCGGTCCTGGTAGCAATATTTTCTGATCTGGCAAAAATCGAGATTTTCTGGCGATTTTCAATAAAATTCCAAAGCCTTTAAGGAGGAATGTTTTCAAAGGACTGGAAGAATATTGGTTTTTCCAGTAGCATTTCACTAATATTAGTTTTTTGAGTGTTTGAAAAAAGTGCCTCGACTCAAGCATGACGCCAGATTTTTCGAAATATTTCAAAAACCGCTGGAGCTACAGAGCCTATTTCCCTACCACTGGATAGAGAGCTGAAAATATCTTTCACCAAGCAGCTGCAGTTGGCAAATCGTCACAGTTTTCGCACCAAAACGGAAATTTGAACATCGCACATTTAGGTCCAAGATATGACCATCGTCTCAAACAGCACGCCACTCTTTTGATGATATCTCGAAAACAAGTTGAGCTAGCGTCCTGATTTCTATACCAGTGGACAGAGAACTAAATGGGCTATTTAGCCATGTAGGTAGTTTGAGGGCGTTTTCCCACAACGCGCCAAGTTTCACGATTACTGCAAGTTTTACGCGGTTTAGTCAAAATTGGCAACAATGACGCTGCTTTTTTGTAATATTTTTAAAACCGCTTTGGCCACAGGGGCCGTTTTCCTACCATTGGATAGAGAATTAAAACCCCCATTCACCAACGAGTTCTCCGATTAGATACCAGTGGCACTTTTGGCCCAAAAAGCGAAATTTCAAACCAGCATTTTTTGTCCCCAATTTCACCAAAAGCGCACTTCTTTGAACACCGTCAAGCATAAACGGTGGTAAAAGAAAATTGTGCTTTAAACATTGATTCAAAACCACTTACCTGTCAATACTACGGAACATTTCGTATTATTCGGATAGGTTGGAGCATCGGGAAACGCCGGACTGAAGAATTGCTTGCTTGAAATGTCAGCAAAACGGTAACAAGGGTGTGTTAATGGATATGGATTCACGTATTCTGGCAGAATACTTGGTTCAGGCGTTGCCAAATTTTGATCATCTGCAAGTAGAAACACGGTAAAAAACAGTTCACTCAATTGGGCCAAAAGTTTGTTTTCAAGTTGCAACCAATCCATTAACTGGCACAAAGGGAAATATGGGTATTGCATCGAATCGGCCTGGCAAAGATAACTTAATGTTTCCGTACAACAAGCATTAAGTCGATGTTGGATCAGCTGCTAACAGCTAATTTATTTGAGCCAGACAGAGGCAAAGAGCAGGAAAGAATACATGTTGTTTTAATTGAATTCCCTGGTGTTTTCCTCATTTTTGAGCGCTTTCAATTCTCTGATGAGCGAATGTTTTCGCGATGGATGGACGCAGTGTAATTCAGCTGAACTCAATCCCCAGCTCAAATCAAATTGAAATATAAGTCCGGTTCAGAAGCCCGAATCCTGAACTGGCTGCACGGATTTGCTGAGCGGTTACCAGCAAATTTAATATTTAAACCATACTTTTAGCTCTGGATTAAGAACGATTTTTAAGCCGCTGTGTACACTGTGTTTTTATTATAGAATGTTCAGTATTTATTGAATTTATTGAATAGTTCCTTGTTATTAACGTGCAAATGCCCCTTTTTGGGGTATTTGCATTAAAGTGAATGTTTTTGACAATTTCCTCTGGAAGACTTGGTTCTGATTCGACAAGTGATACGGTAATTTGAGCGAATTTATCACCAAAAATACACGCTTGATTATATTAATCAAGAAATGTGCCCTAAATGGAGTTATCGACTTGACGATGGGGGAAAGTGATGCAGAAGGGGCACGGGGCATAACATAAACTTAAAATATTAGTCCCTAACTTACTACCTACCAAGTTGCGCAAATTCGGATAAAAACCTCGAAATGTTCGGCGAGTGATTTGTAAAGATCTATAAATCTGGCGGTTTTTTTGAACAGTCTGCCCCAAACTGTTTGGCAGTGACGCAATAATTGCCGTTTGTGCTCCTGTCTTTCATTAAGTTGTTAAAATTCACCGGAAGGATGGAAGAACAACAAAATTATTGATTTGATTTGTGCATTTTTTGCAGATATTTGCACAATTGAGGCAAATTAATACCGCGACTGGCTGTAGTTTTAATCGACTTACCGTTGTCCGTTTGAGCTTGACTTCCAACCACACACTCCACGATGATACACACTGAAACAAAGAGAAGACAGTTAAAAAACAATTTTTTTGAACGAATTGTATTGAACAAATCCAGGCTTCTGACCAAGTCACAAGCAAACGCCCAGAAGACAAGTTTTTCTGGGCATTTTCAATGAAAAAAATAAACCAACCCCTAGGTAGGACAATAGAGTGTTTTCATTGTATCAAAAATTCCTACAAACTGAACATTGAATCTATGGTAATATATATATATATATGAAAGATAAATAAGTTTATACTATCTACATATTGCTATTTTGCTAAATATTTAAAAAACAAATTCAGCTAAAATTCAAATTATTCATGAAGCTCTAAAACGCAATCCTATTGGTTGTGACGTCTCTGGTCATATAAATGGCGGCTTGTTTACGTTCTGTGCATAGTGTTTAGTTGTGTGGTTGTGTTTCATTAATTATTCTGTGGATTTAAATAATTTATAGTTTGTGTTAAACTAAAAAAATGGCTTCAGAAGGATTCCTTAAAGCGTCAATAAACAATTTACCATGTGTCCATATTTTTACGGTTACCGAATTTTTAATAAACGATGAATGCTTTAACTCAGCCAAATTTAAGGGTGTCAAAGCAGCAGCGTAAGTGAAAATTCGTAAATTCAATATTGGTTACTCTCTCCTTAATATACTAATCTGTGTGTGGTTTAAATTAGGTAAATAATATATAAAAATTAACTTATTCAACTTAACTTAACCTATACACATGGCTGCTTTAAAAGTAGAAAGAACTCTTAAATTCGTATTTTGGGCATCACGAGAACAATATGGTGATATCAGATATGTGGAATTAAAATACGAGGGTTCTTTGAGCACTGGACAAGGCAGAATTTGCCCAAAACACAAAGTACGATCGAAGGCATATTCTATCTGCCTCATCATTAGCTTTTTGTCCGTACTTTCATTAAAATGATCCTCGCAACAAAAAAACATTGATTTTGATTTAGGAACATCACGTCTAGCTGCTTTGAACCATAAAACTTTACGTGCATAATCATGAGAAACGGTTAGAAAGAGTTTGTTTGGAGCACTTATTGAGGTATTCTTGCATACCCTGACAAAACACCATTTATTTTGTGATATGCCATACATGTCACTATTTTCCATTGTGCAAGATACTAATAATAATCAATAAAATAATGATAATCACAATAATTTAAGTAATAAAACAAAGCTGCGAAAACAACCAAATAAACACGAGACACTTTGTTGATATGACCTGCTACGTCACAATCGGGATAGGCAACCGACTATACCGACTCGACGTTTTTGGCGGTAAATATCTGATTTGAATTTAAATTCGCTTTAAAATTATTATGGGGACTTTTTTTGCCAAAAAAATCAGATCAGTGTAATGCTTGGCATAACTACTTTCAATATATCCACATTAAAAAAACGTGGAAACACCCTATTGTGGAGGCAAATGGTTTCCTTCATAGAAGCGTATAACATTGGGAACTTTTAAATTCCGAACTTTATGGAAAAGTTCATTTTTTCGCCCGGTCTTTCATGAACTCAAACCTTCTGCACCTTCCAATCTCTTTTGGCAATAGTTTAGAAAAACCAAAGTTTTTGTTGGAATGGAGTATTTTTTAATAGAAAATTCGTGCTGGATTCTTGCGTTGCTTATTCTTCTCCTATGTGATTTCAAATTTTTATATATTTGTCTTTGACCGACTTTCATTTCAAAGACCATAGTGCATCGACTATTTTCCAATAAAAGCTAAACCCAACGCGACCATAAAGTCGTATTATTTGCACTGTTCCTTCGAATGAAATGACGACTTTAAACAATGGGTTTGCTTAGCAAATCCCCGTAAGTGGGGAAAAATTGGTCAATATCACCAGCCCGAAAGCACAGAAACTGCAACAATTTAGACAATTGCAGGATTTCGCAGCTTTGCAGACAATTCTTAAGCTGCGGTTCAACAACGGGAACTTCCAGTTAGAAAATGCAATCGTATCTTGTTTTGGTTTTGCTTCCGCATAGGCAAACTCTTCTCTTTCAATATATCCAGGATTGTTTCAAGGTTTCAATCTTGCATTCCGCAGCTTGATGGCGGTCAAGAGCTCAAAATGAGAGCACTTCCGCCCAGCTCTGTGCACGGGCGGGCGGATAAACAGGCGAAAATGCTTGGTCGGCAATATTTTCTACATTTAATGAGTTATCAGGGAAGCCAATTTAACCGGATTCCGGGCCGAAATGGCATTCCTAGTCGGACTTTATTAATTCTGACCGCACTTAATGGACCCGATAAATTGCAAAACGGCTTCATATTAATTACTGGCCAAAGTGCCTTCGAATATTCACAATCGCCAAAGGATGGAATTCAGCATTGATTTATTTGGTACGCTCGGGCTTGCGGTTACTCCAAGAGTGTGTAAAGAGTGAAGAGCGTTTCAAAACACAAATGTTCCCGGATCAATCCGGTCGTCCTTCCGGCGTCTTCCGGAAGTGCTCGAATCAGGAAGCTGCATTAGCAAGCTCAAGATCTGCTATTTCTTCGGAGATTTGCATCCTTAAAATCTGCCCATAATTGGAAGCGTCGTGAGCTAAAGAGTGAAGAGTGTTTTAAAGCACAAATTTTCCCGGATAAATCCGGCAGTCGTTCCGGAATCTTGAGGAATTTGCGGAATCAGAAAACTGCGTTCGAAAGCTCAGAATCTGCGGTTTAGTTGCAGACATGAACTTTTCAAATCCACCGTTAATTGGTCGCGTCCCGGACTAAAGAGGGAAGAACGTTTCAAAACACAAATTGTCAGGGATAAATCCGGCCGTTTTTTCGGCGTCTTCAAAAAATTTCGGTATCAGGAAACTGCGTTCGAAAGCTCAGAATCTACGATTTACTTACAGCTTTTAAAATTCCAAATCCGCCCTTAATTGGTCGCGTCACGGACTAAAGAGGGAAGAACGTTTCAAAACACAAATTTTCTGGGATAAATCCGGCCGTTTTTCTGGAGTCTTCGAAAAATTGCAGTATCAGAAAACTACGTTCGAAAGCTCAGAATCTGCGGGTTGTTTACAGACATGAAATTTTCAAATCCGCCTTTAATGATCGCGTCCCGGACTAAAGAGGGAAGAACGTTTCAAAACACAAATTTTCTGGTATAAATCCGGCCTTTTTTTTGGAGTCTCCAAAAATTCCAGTATCAGAAAACTGCGTTCGAAAGCTCAGAATCTGCAGGTTATTTACAGACATGCAATTTTCAAATCCGCTCTTAATTGGTCGCGTCCCGGGCTAAAGAGGGGAGAACGTTTCAAAACGCAAATTTTCTGGGATAAATCCGGCCGTTTTTCTGGAGTCTTCGAAAACTTCCAGTATCAGAAAACTACGTTCGAAAGCTCAGAATCTGCAGGTTATTTACAGACATGCAATTTTCAAATCCGCTCTTAATTGGTCGCGTCCCGGGCTAAAGAGGGGAGAACGTTTCAAAACGCAAATTTTCTGGGATAAATCCGGCCGTTTTTCTGGAGTCTTCGAAAAATTCCAGTATCAGAAAACTACGTTCGAAAGCTCAGAATCTGCAGGTTATTTACAGACATGCAATTTTCAAATCCGCTCTTAATTGGTCGCGTCCCGGGCTAAAGAGGGGAGAACGTTTCAAAACACAAATTTTCTGGGATAAATCCGGCCGTTTCTCCGGAGTTTTCAAAAAATGCCGGTATAAGGGAACTGCGTTCGAAAGCTCAGAATCTGCGATTTATTTAAAGATTTTAAATTTGCTAATCCGCCCTTAATTGGTCTCGTTCCGAGCAAAAGAATCAAGAGCGTTTCAAAACACATTTTTTTCCGGATCATTCCGGCCGTGCTCCCGGAGTCCTCAGGAAGTTCCGAACTCTGCGTACTGCGTTCGAAAGCTCAAAATATGCGGCTTATTTACAGATATGCGATTTCGGAATCCGCCCTTAATTGGTTGCGTCCCGGACTAAAGAGGGAAGAACGTTTCAAAACACACATTTTCTGGGATAAATCCGGTCGTTTCTCCGGAGTCTTCAAAAAATTCCGGTATCAAGGAACTGAGCTCGAAAGCTCAGAATCAGCGATTTATTTAGACATTTTAAATTTCCAAATCCGCCCTTAATTGGCGTCCCCGGACTAAAGAGTGAAGAGCGTTTCAAAACACAAATTTTCCGGGATCATTCCGGCCGTGCTCCCGGAATTTTCAGGAAGTTCTGGAACCAGGGGGCTGCGAAAAACTCGCGATCTGCTATTTGCTCAGAGATACGAAATTTCAAAACAGGCCCTTAATCGGGCCATTCCCGAGGTAAAAAGTGAAGAGTGCTTTAAAAAACAAACTTACTCGGAAAATACCAGCCGGAAAATCAGTTTTTTACCCAGTTTCGAAATTACAAAATTGCGCTGTTTTAGGAGTTTAAAAGTAAAAAATCCGCCCTTGAAATCTTAAATATTCGCTATCTTCAGAAATTTTAAAATCCGCCCTTAGTCGAAAAGACTAATTTTTTATCAAAAAAAACACAGTCGTGAGACCAACAATAAAAATAGAATTCAAATCGGCAATTATATGGCAAAATTATGCCGGGAATCGACGAGAAGAATAAAGCAAGACGCGCCCTTAGCATTACGCCTGTATAGGCTTTAATATTATTTATTTCATTTCGGTTAAAATATCAAAGTCCTTCTTTGATATTTAGAACTGGGGTTCAGAGCAGGGACAAAAGACTTACAAGCATAAAAATAATACAATGGATTTAACTTTGGCAAACACAATTTCCTTGAAGAGTCGATAAATGTTGGAAGAATCCTTAATGCCTTTCACAAAGACTAACAGCCGATGCTTACTGACCTGTAAAAGCGGCAGAAGAACGTGCATCCTCTATACGTTTCCTCCAGTTTATAAAACTGAAAATTTAGAATTACCGCTCGAACTATCCAAGACAGGCCCTAACTTAACCCTTTCAAAACAGACTTCTTGGCGTAAGTCGATGAACTTCGTTAAGGAACTTTCCACTTAGCAGAAACG